CTGTGGACACAGGGCAAGGAATGAACAGAGACTGCAGACTTGGCACAAGGGATGGACAGAGACTGAGGACACTGTGCCTGAAATTTACAAACTGTCCTTGACATACAAACAGGTGGTAACCCTACATACACACATGCTATGTTCACACATGCTACATAAACATACACTACATACGTCTGACCACCACAGCACTTACCTTCATTGCTCATGCTGCCCTAGGTAAAAGGAGGGACGGGCACGATTATCTGTGAGGCTGGCCACAACCCCTCCCACCCACTCACTCTGCCAAGCCTCACAGAGAGTCCTCAATCAGAGCACCTGGACAAAGCTGCTGGGGCAGGAGGGAGAGGGGAGAAGGAGTGATCTGTCCTCACATCTCTGTTCAGAAGCGCAAGAATTGTGGCACTGGCCGCCCGGGACGGGACACACAAAATGGGAATATTTCCTATTTTTGGGACAAGCCTGGGACAAAGAGTGGCTCTGACAGGGCTTTAAAATCCGGTACTGTCCCTGGCAATCCATGACAAGTTGGCAACTGTGGGCTCATAGGAAGTGGGTTGAAAGATGCTGGCCCCCAGACTGAGGACATATTGTCAGCAAACAAGTACTGCAGGTGAAATGTTTGGATTGGGAATGGAATGCATATGACAGCAACGTCTGGTTTTATCATTTACTGGGCTCCTCATTTTTGTCTCATTTTTGGTTGGGGCACTGATTTAATGGGAAACTTGTAATGGTTTTAGATCAATTTGGATTTAGTGGCCTTTGTAAAGTTTATTTTAAAATGATCTTTTATATATATATTTTTTTATACAGATATACAATTCTGAGAACCCTTTGTAGTGTATTCAATTTTTAGATTGTTTTTATATGTAAACTTTAGAAGGATCATTGCTTGCATTAAAGGGCTCACTGAAATCTCCAACACATAAGGGCTGATCCATTGCTCTGATGAGGTCTCAGTGAGGTCTGTACGCAGCAAGTTTCTTTCTGCAAAGCCAAAAAATATACAGCTCATCAAAATCAAAAAGAAGACCCTAGTGTGTACAAATGCATGCTCATTCATTGTATCATATAGAATATTTCAGGTTTATCCGACTTGAAAGAACATTGTTTTTAATTTCAGAACATAAAAACGATATGTACAAAACCAATATACATTTCTTTTCCTGTGCAAGGCAAAACAACAAGTTCACTTTCATTCCCTCCTTTACAGATGCACATACTTAAAGCGGTATTAAACCTAAACAACAATTGTATATATTGCAGCTTACCAATCCTTTAAATATGGTGGCTGCATTTGTTTTCTATTTGTTTTTTTTCACCACTTTTTTCACACTTTGAAACCATTTTTTTCATCATTTTTCCACCTCCTTTTTTTCCCCCCCTTTTTCCACTATTTGTTCCACTATTTTTCACTACTTTTTTCACACTTTAAACCATTCCCCCCCATTTTTCACCACTTTTTTACCACCTTTTTTCACCAACTTTTTTCGCCACTTTTTTTTAACCTTTTTTCACCCTTTTTCACCACCTTTTTACACCACTTTTTTAACCTTGTTTCACTACCTTTTTTCACCACTTATTTTCACCCTTCATCAATTTTTTCACCACTTTTTTCACCACTTTTTCACCAATTATTTCACCACTTTTTTACCACTTTTTTCACCACTTTGTTTCACCAATTTTTTTGTTTCACCAAGTTTCCCACCCCTTTTTCCACAAATTTTTCGCTACTTTTTTCACACTTTAAACCCCCCCCACCATTTTTCACCATTTTTTTACCACCTTTTTCACCACTTTTTTTCACCACCTTTTTCCACCACTTTGTTTAACCTTGTTTCACCACCTTTTTTCACCACTTATTTTCACCCTTTACTTTTTTCACCACCTTTTTTCACCACTTATTTTCACCACTTTTTTACCATTTTTTTCACCACTTTTTAACCTATTATTTCACTAATTTTTCACCACTTTTTTCACCCAATTACTTCACTTTTTTCACCACTTTTTCACCACTTTTTCACCAATTATTTCACCAATTATTTCACCACTTTGTTTCATCAATTATTTCACCAATTTTTTTTGCCACTTTTTCACCACTTTTTCACCACTTTGTTTCACCACTTTTTTCACCAATTATTTCAACACTTTTTTCACCACTTTTTCTTCTTTTTTTACCACTTTTTTTCATTAAGTTTTCCCCCTTGCCCCCCTTTTTTCATCACTTTTCACCCTTTTTTTCAAAGGACATTTGTCAAGCCATCAAATGTACTGTTAGTATGAATATTCCAATGAACGTTTATTCAAAAATCTACTAGTATACGACCAGCTTAAAAAAAGTTAAACTTCCAACTGATTAACAAATTATTCTGCATGGATAAAGCACAGGTTTTATTTCTTTTGTTCTGTTTTGAAGTATACAGTTTTGCACTCAAAGGGGGTTGTAAAGGCTGATGGTATTTTATCTTCATGCCTTCTATGCATGAAGGTAAAAAACCTGTGTGCAGCTTCCCTCACAGCCCCCCTAATACCTGAACCCCATCTTGATCCAGCACTGTGCACAGGAACCTCTGCTCTCCCTGGTCTCTCTCTTCTCATTGGCTTAGACACTTCAGCAGGAGCCTTTGGCTAACACTGTTGTCAATCACAGCCAGTGCGGAGTGATCAGGGGGTGGGGCTGGGCCGTGCTCTGTGTGTCTTATAAATGCACAGAGTGAGAGTGGGGAGCAAGCGTACATGAGTGAACTTGGAGGCATTCAGCAGGGAGAAGGGGCCAGGATCACTGGCGGGGGAACCAAGAAAAGATTGTGGCTGTTCTGTGCACAAGTACAACTGTAAGTATTTTTTAAACCTGAGCCTTGAAAATCACTGTAATCTCAGTAGTTTTATTGTGTTTTATGTAAGAAACCGTTCATATTAACCACTTGTCCTCCTGAGGATTTACCCCCTCCTTCCTGACCAGGCCATTTTTTGCGAAACAGCACTGCGTTACTTTAACAATTGCGCAGTCATGCAATGCTGCACCCAAATGAAATATATGTCCTTTTTTCCCCACAAATGGAGATTTCTTTCGGTGATAGTTGATCACTGGTGCGGTTTTTATTTTTTGTGTTAGAAGCAAAAAAAGACTGTCAATTTTGAGAAAAAAAAAACTATATTTTTTTACTTTTTGCTATTTAACATGTCCAGTACAAAAATTTAAATAAATCTAAGTTTGTCATAAATTTAGGCCAAAATGTATTCTGCAACATGTCTTTGCTAAAAACAATTCCCAATACATGTAAATGAATTGGTTTATGTGAAAGTTATAGTGTCTACAAAAAGTGGTATAGATACTGGAATTTTCTTTTTATATATTAGTAATGGCGGCGATCAGCAACTTATAGCAGGACTGCGGCAGGCATTCTGACACTGGGGTGATCTAACTGCCACTGATATCCCCAGTGACACTAATACAGTGATAAGTGCTAATAAAAAGCACTGACACTGTACTAATAGCACTGGGCAGGAAGGGGTTAACATCCAGGGTGATCAAAGGGTTAACTGTGTGCTGTTTCACCCTGTGCTGTGTGTGTTTAACTGTTTAAGCACATTGCTTTGTATGGTTCTGCAAGCCAGGTATTTCATTCTCCAAAAATACCTGAAACAGTGAAATAGTTAACACATTAAAGTGAAGGCAATGCCTTTTTTTTAGATTTGTAGCTAGTTGAGCAAGATTAGAACGCCTGTCGGGTTTTCGTTGCTGTCTGTAGGGGAGATTCACCCTCTTTATTTATCCAGAGGACCGTTCTCATTGAAAATGAAAGAAAATTGAGTGGTCACCAGAGCAGGTACACAGGAGAAATTTTTCATTGGGGATGCTTGTTTTGTTGACCCTGAGATTTCCCTCACTTTGGAGGGATTTTCTCTCGCTATGGAACAAGAAGTGTCCATTTCTTGCTCCATTTCATACACTCCCAACAATTACAGAATCTACAGACCACACAGAGAACTCCATAAAGGGATAATAGTGGCACCCTGCCTAAGAACACCTTTACACAACCGCAGTTTATCAGTCGCAGCAGTGGGTTTCTGTTGAGTCTGTAATGGTTTAGATAGATGGGATACAAAGTTTACTCTGGCAATTGTGTAACATTTTCTGCAGTGTTCAGGTATAAAATCTCCCATGCATATTCCTTTTGTTGTGTCTTTGATTGCAACGCAGCATGAATTAAAAAATAATGTGCTGCTATGGCTATTGTTATACCAGATTTAACATACTGGATGCTAGAAGGTTAGCGCTGCAGGGGCAGAGCAGAGAATGAAAGTCGCCACTCTCTGCTCAAAGCTGACCAAGAACTGAGCAATCACTGGTCATTTGATCACTCAGTTCTCGGTCTTACAGCTGGGGGGCAGTTGCAGCATCACAGAGATGCTGCACCATGAGATGGGGGGAGGGGGGGGGCATAGATATTTTTTAGTAACCCCAAACTTCTCCTTTCTAAAAGTATTTGCCCTGTGCCAGGAAGCAAAAATTTTATTTTCTATAAATGCAGCTACAGTGATCACACCTAAAAGCAGGGAAATGCACAGTGTATTAATGTTAAAAATATTCCATGCATTTATAAATTCAAATAAAACAGAATTTCAGGTTTGTCAATGGCATTTGATGATGAGACCTCACAGTATATGCAAATCCAATCACTAAAATCTTTCTTTTATATTTATTTCTTTCCACTTGGTAACAGAACCTGGGCTTTAACCACTTGCCTACTGAGCACGTTTCCCCCTTCCTGCCCAGGCCACTTTTTGTACCCATATGAAATTTTTATCATTTTTTTTCACACAAATAAGCTTTCTTTTGGTGGTATTTACTTGCCACTGGATGTTTTATTTTTTTGCGCTATAAACGAAAAAGAGCAAAAAATTTGAAAAAAAAGTAGTTTTTCTTTGTTTCTATTATAAAATTTTGCAAACAGGTAATTTTACTCCATCACTGATGTGCGCTGATGAGGCTACATTGATAGGCAGCACTGATGGGCACTGATAGGCAGCACTGATGAGGTGGCATGGATAGGCAGCACTGATGAGGTGGCTTGGGAAGATAGCACTGATAGGCGGCGCTGATTGGCATCTCTGCTGGGCAATGTTGGGTGGCACTGCTGGGCAATGTTGGGTGGCACTGATGGGCTGCACTGATGGGTGGCACTTCAGGGCACAGGTGGGTGGCACTGATGGGCACAGGTGGGTGGCACTGATGGACACAGGTGGGTGGCACTTCAGGGCACAGGTGGGTGGCACTGCTAGGTGGCACTGTGGGGCACAGGTGGGTGGCACTGATCATCAGTGCCCTGATCAGTGCTGATCCCTTCGCTGACAATTGCCGGTTTTCGGCAGTACTTTTCTCATGCTGTGACAGCGTAAGGAAAGTGTAGCCAATAACCGGCAACTGTATTTACCCGGTGATCTGCTGTGTCATTGGACATGGCTGATCACGTGGTAAAATGCTGCCGAGATTGGCCATTTATCGTATCATGTGATCAGCCCATTAGGGGCTTGCAAGGGGGCATGTTCATGAATGACTGTCGTCCCAGAATTACACAATCGCGCTGTAGCCGTCCTTTAGCTATAGCGCGGTTGGGAACTGGTTAACGAACATGGTTCTTTGGATCACTATAGGATTTAAATTCTCATATTTGTTACCAATATAGTTGTAACATCACAATGTCTCTCCCATCATGTTAGTTTTTTGTTGCTATGTAGAAAAATTACATCTGAGTGTTATGTAAAAGAGAAACAATTTATACACACCACCTGCCTGGAGTTTGCATGTTCTCCCTGTGCCTGCGTGGGTTTCCTCCGGGTACTCTGGTTTCCTCCTACACTCCAAAGACATGCTGGCAGGTTCATTGGATCCTGTCTAAATTGGCCCTGGCATGTGTATGTATGAATGTGAGTTAGGGACCTTAGATTGTACGCCCCTTGAGGGTTAGGGACTGATGTGAATGTACAATATATATGTAAAGCGCTGCATAAATTGACAGCACTATATAAGTCCTTGAAATAAATAATTTAGTCCAAATACTCATCCCTGTCCAGAAGACTGCTGAATGCAAGCAAAGACCATGTCCCCAACTGCAATTCCTGTAAATGCAGCTTGCTTTCAGCTAGAAAAACTATCAGTGTGGTCAAACTAAGGAAATGGTGCTCAAATGCCTAGACGTTGCTTACAACTTTATGCTTGAAAGGCTAAAGAAATCCATTATCCCACATATGATAGCAGCACAATGGTAGCCAAAAAGTTGCGTTGGATCTTCTCTGCTAAACAATACATAGTCTGAGTTTTTTATTTTTCTTTTTGGCCAGCCCACTTCTCTGCACAAGATATACTGAAAGTGATTTGTTAGGCTCTTTCACACGAACATGCTGATCGGGTCCTCCTGCCCGTTTTTCAGACAGACCCCATCGAAACCTCCATTCTCCTCTATGGAGCAGCTGGTGTAAACAGACCCATGTCCATTTACATCAGCCAACATCTGATCCGATCTGTCAAAAAGGGACGGATGGGGATCCAATTCCCCTTCAGTCAATCGGATCGGATGAAAATGGACAGGCGATCCATTTTCATCTGACCACCCATTGAGGAGAGCGAGCAGCTCTGTGTCTGCTCTGCAGCAGCGGAGGGGACACAGAACTGTCATCTGCTTGCTCAGCGGGGGATCAGTGGGGAGATCTCCCGCTGAGCAAGCGGATCCACTAAACGGGTCCGCTCTGTGTGAAAGGACCCTTATTTTATTATGCATATCTTCTCTTTACAATGAAAGTGTGTATACACTACATATATATCTGTTGTGTACGGTATTGACTAAAGGTTGTCTCTTACCCTTCCCTTTTTTTCTTTTCTTTTGTGTGTTTTTCATTCATTTTTTCAGTTACTTTGATGTGGTTTTTTTTTATTCCGTTTCTGGAAAGAAGGTAAACCTCAAATTGCAATCAGCTGTGATTCACTATTTAAGCTGTTCTTTGACAGGTGAAACTTAGCAATGACTAAGCATGCATTTGTGTGAAACGTGTTTACTGTTGCTCTGTCCAGTCTTGGAGCTGTCATAGTCTTCTTATATTGTTTGTGAAGATTCTAATAAATGATTTTATTTCACTACACCGTTGACAGTGCGGCCAACCTTTGCTCTTTGGCTCTAATTTCACGATCATGGATCGGGCCAGCACCGGTGTGTGTGTTGAGGGGCTATGTGATCTAGCACTCACCTGAAGCGGTCTGCCCAGGGGCGGACTGACAACTCATGGGGCCCCCGGGCAATAGGGGACCATGGGGCACTGTGTCCTTGCCCAAACTCAAAAAAGCCTATGAAAAAGGTACGAGGGGCATCTCATGGGGCCCCCTACTGACCTGGGCCCTCGGGCAGTGCCTGAGTTTCCAAATGGTCAGTCCGCCCCTGGGTCTGCCTGTTTTTCTGCTAGATAATACATAACATTATTATTATTATATTATTATTATTATACAGGATTTATATAGCGCCGTTTGCACAGCACTTTACAAAATGAAGGTAGACATAACAGTTACAATACAATTTGGTACAAGAGGAAACAGAGGGCCCTGCTGGTTAGAGCTTACATTCTTAGAGAACATGTCCTGATTGAGGACTATTACAGCAAGAAATATGGAATTCCTAAAGTGTTTTCATTTGACAACGGTCCTCAGTAGAACATGAAAGCTTACTAAAGCCTATGATTTTCAGCGTACAAATTCCAGTTCTAACTACCCACAGTCAAATGGACAAACCGAGAAATGTTAAGAGCATTTGCTCTAAAAGGCAAAGAAACCTGCAGGAGTTTCGTACAGCACTATGCTGAAGACAGGAATACAATCCCTTATCACAGGATGACCAGCTCAGCTGCTCAACAACAAAAGATCAACGAGTGCAATGGATCTTAACCCTGTTACTAATTCTTCACAAAGTGGCTGCTGAAAATCAAATGTCACATGCCGTACTGACAGGCAATACGGTTTATCAATCTCAGCCATTAAAGATAATGGGTCAAGTGTTTGGCTCAAGGTTGCCACTCATTAGCCCCTTTATTAACTGCAGTTTAGAAAAAAAAACAGGCATTTAGGAGGTGGCAGAATCACCTCTTGTACACCTGACAATGGCTGCTTAGCTGGACTTTGAAAAGCTATACACCACAGATGACTTTTCAGAGTTTTGGCTAGTGTGAATGAGGTTATAGGTAAAGACATGCCTAGACACCAGGGGCGGACTGACCATTTGGAAACTCAGGCACTGCCCGGGGTCAGTAGGGGACCCCATGAGATGCCCCTGGTACCTTTTTCATAGGCTTTTTTGAGTTTGCGCAAGGACACAGGGGCCCCATGATCCCCTATTGCCCGGAGGGTGCCATGAGTTGTCAGTCCGCCCCTGCTAGACACATGTGCATTTCAGGGAGTGCTCTGGTATTTTTCAGAAGGAATTCCAAAAAAATGGCATATTTTTTTAAAGTGTACTTCTTAGAAACAATTAACATTTTGAAAAGTCGCCTATAGCAAACCTTCACTTTTATGCGTTCAGGTCCACTCTAACATGTGACTACCTATGCTGTGTTATTTTGTTTTCCTTGTTTGCTTGTATAATTAAAGTATTCAAAGAATATAAATGTAATTTTTATTGCTGTTTTTTTTTCAGTTTTCCCAAATTAAAGATACTGGGTTTGGTGTTTTTAATGAAATTTCAAATGAAAAACTATAATAGCCACTTAAACACTAGAATGACTCATTTTATGACCTACTTGCAATTACTCCATTAGAGACATTACTCAGAACAGTCAGCATTTCAGAACTGTGTGTTATGTTAACCTCAAAAGATCTGACATTTTCAGCATATTGCTTAATCAAATGTAAATTCCCTTAAAGCCACCACATATGCTTGCACTGTACCCCTTTTAAACTTCAAATAAAAACCTTGTATAATTAGAAAGTAATGCAGGCTTTATGTTCTGATCCATGCTTTAGGACAAAACTCTTCAATATTGGTGACCTTACATTCATTGCTTTAACGCTTGCCACCAGTGATGTAAACGCCTCATTGTATCCAGTGGCTATAACCTTTCATTTCAGAGACTGTTTCATCAAAAGCCAAGCTGTAATCTGACATGGTTGCGTTCCTTATATACTAGGTAGATTTATTTTAGGAAGTGCATAAAAGCAAATGCTTTTGCTCTTTACCAAATTTTTGCTTTACAGTCTTTCGTATACAAAAAGACTGCAGTTTAAAATCACTTGGCCTTAACATCGTAATCATTTTTTATCAGGACAGAAACTTGGACTAGTTAACAGTGCTGTCTGAGAACAAATGCTGTGGGGCACATATTCATGGTTTTTATTTTGCTTTGTGATACACTCTAAAAAACAAATGTCAAACAGAGTTTGTCACATTATTCCTGTACTGATGTATAGATAATGAAAGCTGACAATTTCCTATTTGAAAAGCGTGCTGTAAACATAAAGTCTATTGCACGCGTTGGCAAGAAATGTTAGATGTATGAGTACTTCAGATGTTATTTAAAAGTCAAATACTATTAATACTGATAACTATTTTGTATTATTTCACTACCAAAGGGTTAAGTTAGAAAATTGGGAACAATTGGCAAATGCAGTTTCTTAATAGTTAAATGCAAAACTTTGCACCTAGATGTTGGTACTAGAAATAACTACTATAGTTGATGACTGAATGGATTACCTTTGGTTAAACTGACATTAGACAGCTAGACATCATTTTAGACAGGAAGCTGAATAATATAATCTAGTTCTAAACAAGTGCTGAAAATAACAAAATTGAAATGGAAGTAAATCTGTTTTGATGTACATATAGCTTGTACATGTTGCTTGCACATGTTCCTTGTCAAGTAATGTCAGCTCTATACAGGTTTAGGTCCTTTTATATGAAAAAACAGCAGAATCTGAGTGGTTTCTGATTCTGAGCCTGGGAACTTTTTAAGTTAACAGAGAGCTTAGGCTGTACGGAAATATGCCACAATTTAGCTGTCTTCGGTCTGGAATAAAATCTTTGTGATCTAAGACATACCCTGGCTGCATTTGCAATTTAGGAAAAACAGTGTGCATGAGACCTTATGCATCATTTCAGTTTGAATAATATCAGAGGTTGGTGTTAGTATTTTTCTATGCATGTTTTTGTTTTCAGTAAAATGCATTTAGTCTTAGATTTCTGTCCATTTGCAGTTTTTCACATATTCCTCTGGTTGTCCTAAACATTTTATTTGTTCCATTCTAACTGCACAGTAGCAGCGTTTTTGGGCTCAATTTCAACTTTAAGTAGTTGAGAGCTAAAAAAAAAAAAAGTACAATGATAAAGAAAAAGATATTGTCCCTACTAAAAAATGTACTTCCAAGAAGTCCTAAACATGGTTTCTTCTTGCCCAAAGTATTGGCATGCCTGCTTTTACACGCAAATGAACTTTATTGGCATCCCAGTCTTAGCCCATAGGGTTCAATAATGACTTGGCCCACCATTTGCAGCTATAACAGCTTCAACTCTTCTGGGGAGGCTGTCTACATGTTTTAGGAGTGTGTCTATGGGAATGTTTGACCATTCTTCCAGAAGCACATTTGTGAGCTCAGGCACTGATGTCAATCAGGTAGGTCTTGCTCGCAGTCTCCACCCTAATTCATCCCAAATGTGTTCTATCGGGTTGAGGTCAGGACTCTGTGCAGGCCAGTCAAGTTCCTCCACTCCAAACTCGCTCATCCATGTCTTTATGGACCTTGCTTTGTGCACTGGTGCACAGTCATGTTGGAACAGGAAGTGGCCATCCCCAAACTGCTCCCACAAAGTTGGGAGCATGAAATTATCCAAAATGTCATGTTATGTTGATGTCGTAAGAGCTCCCTTCACTGAACCTAGGGGGCCAAGCCCAAACCCTGAAAAACAAGCCCATACCATAATCCCCCTCCATCAAACTTTACACTTGGCAGAATGCAGTAAGGCAAGTCCCTTTCTCCTGGCAACTGCCAAACCCAGACACATCTATCAAATGGGCAGACAGAGAAGCGTGATTCTTCACTCCAGAGAACACATCTCCACTGCCCTAGTGTCCAGTGGCGGTGTGCTTTTACACCACTGCACCCGAAGCTTTGAATTGCACCTGATGTGAGGCTTGGATGTAGCTGCTCGGCCATGGAAACCCATTGCATGAAGCTCTCTACACACTGCTGTTGTGCTAATCTGAAGGCCACATGAAATTTGGAGTTCTTTAGCTATCAACTCTGAAGACAGTTTGCGACTTCTGCACACTGCGCTTCAGCATGCGTTGACCCCGCTCTGTCATTTTACGTGGCCTACCACTTAGTGGCTGAGTTGCTGTTGTTCCCAGTTGCTTCTACTTTGTTATAATACCACTAACAGTTGACTGTGGAATATTTAGTAGCAAGGAAATTTGATGGATGGACTTGTTGCACAGGTGGCAACCTATCACGGTACCAGACTTGAATTCACTGAGCTCCTGAGAGCGACCCATTCTTTCACAAATGTTTGTAGAAGCAATCTGCATACCTAAGTGCTTGATTTTATACATTATATTTTTGGAGGTGATTTGAACCCCTGAATCCAACAATTTGGAGGGGTGTCCCAAATCTTTTGGCAAAATAGTGTATGTAATGCAGACCCTCTGGTTTCAGTATTCTAAGGCACTGCTCTTGAATAAGTATGCAGATGAAGACTACTGCCTTTTAGATGAACCTGAAGAGTATTTCACATCTTTGGATCTAAATGTATTAAAGTTACAGGATAATCATAACGGCTAGCCAATTATCTTTTTCAGTAGGAGGTCGGAAATTACATCTTTGAATGTTTTGTATCTAAATCTAGCCAATATCTTACTATGAACATGTCTTTATATGTAATGCAAACCCCTTGTCTCTATCTGTGTAGCCAGGAGATGTGGCTGTTCATTATATTAAAATAAAAAAAAAAAAAATTCTGGCACTGTACAGCAGGATGTCAATTGCTACTTCCTAAATGTGTGGTCTTTTGGCTTCTTTTGGCTATTGCCAATAGCCCCAAAATTGCAGTCTGCTAGAGAAACTGTTCCAATAAATATATTGGAAGAATATTTATAGACTATTGCATGCCATGATTAAATATCACTAGGCAAATATTTTATTAATGGGCTTTCAAATCGTCAAATTTAGTAATGCTATCCAAATTTTAAATAACTTTTACCTCATTATGAATGATAGTGCCTATTTGCAGTGCTTAGAAATATGTTGTATGTACGTTTTCCTTGCTGGCCTATTGTTCTGAAAGTGTTAGCTGCCTCTCAATCTTATTCTTAGAGTTGCATACTTAGGGTAGTAAAAAAAAACAAATCTGACATTGCTCTCACTTATTTTTTTCCGTAAAGAATAAGTATACATAAAATAATTAGAGCCAGACAACATCTGTCCGAGAAGGAGGTGAACAGTTGCAGCTTCAATTTTTTTTTTTCTATGACAGGTGCTTAATTTTTAAATGGATTCTGTACTTTGCCTATCCAGTGCAAAGCAACAGGTTCCCTAAATAGTAGGCATCTTTTAACTCTTGTATGTTGTACAAGGTCTGGGTAAAGCTTATACAAAGCTAAGATCCTTTACTCTCATCATGTGAAAATGTTCAGAGCTTTCAAATAGTTGCTTGCACCAAGGCTAAGCCTTGTGAGATGTAGAGGAGAGAGCCAAGTGTCCCTCCTACCCCCTCCCTCCCATACCCTTACCTCAAAATTTTATTTTTGTTTTCCTCTAGGACTTTGGAAGGTTAAAAGATAGCAAGAAAACAAGTGGGAAAGGAGTAAAGGCACCAGAAGTTGTCTACTCGTCAGTTATTTTTACCTCAGCGGGCAATATGGAGATTACCTGGAATAGATGTTAGGCTAATTAACTTAGCTGTTCAGTCTAAACACTATGCAAGGAATAGGGGTTGTTTGGCTGTACAGGCGGCCTTGCAAGAACCAAGGTTAGAGGTTACCAGCCTTTTAGACATGAATGGCATTTTAGTGTAATAATTTTTCAGACTTTGACATCACCACCTTTGATGATAATTAATAGCATAAATAAATGTAGATGTCGATTGAGTGCCTTACTTAATACAGGCAGTATCTTCCAACTGCAAAATACATTCATAAATGGCAAGAAATCAATCAAATTGCTTTTAGGGCAAAGAGAAATCTTTTTTTTCCTGTTGGATTTTTGTTTTTTTATATTATGTAGAATGTGAGTGATGATGCTGCAGAACGTAAAGTTGAGGGATAACACCCAAAGTGCACAAATGAACAGGAATCAATTAATTGTCAGGGAGAGATTGCTGTTGGAGTATCCAGGATTCATAAGACAAAATCTGACTGGCTAAAGTATCGCATGATATGTACTTAGCCTGTAACTACTTCATAGGTTTAGACCCTTTCAGATACAATGCCTCATTTTCTCTCAAATATGGGATATCCAGTATGTTTCTGTTAGAAACCTCTCTCTCTCTCTGGACTGAGTACAATTACTAGAGATTTACCAATTTGACTGTTTTTGAGTACACTTTTTTTATTCCACTTTTGGTTATTTCTATTTATTCTATTTATTTATGATGACATTAGTTTTCAGAATTGTACCAATATTTTGAATTCTCTTGGAAATGGCATATCTTTTATTACCAAATTATAACACCTTCTTGGATATGCATTGTGTAAACAATGTGTATGCTGTTACTTTAATAGTTTGTAAAGAAATTAGTTCAGGGTATTTAAAATCTTACCATGCAGTGAATTTGAAATAATAGTCTGAGCTTTAAGCTGGCAAAACACTGGCCTTGTTTACACCATATGTGCGGAAAAACTGATGGAAACTGACGTGCAGATTTCACTTGCAGAGACATCAGTTTTCATATGAATTTTATAAACATTGCAGATTCCTGCGCAGAAAAAATCTGCATGTGATACTAGTGTTGTGGTGTGAACAGGGCACATAGAGAACAATTGATTTTGTTGTGCCCTTGCAGAACATGTGCAGAAAAACTGATGTGTCTGCACCATGGTGTGAATGAGCCATTGCAGAATTTCTCCTCCAACCTGCGAACTGACCAAAATGGAGATTCTTCCATCCATGCTAACAGTGCAGATGGATGAATCCTTCAGATGAGCTATTATGTATATGAAAGTCAGCCTCACTAACTGCCAAAATACCCAAACAGCTGCATCTGATTGGATGCAGTTGCTCTTTGGGTGACAGTTTTCCGCCCAGCTATTTTGATTTCTAACTGAGGGATGTCAAGCGAGAGGTGGCCAACAGAGGCAGATTTCAGAAAGGACCTGTAATGTCTATATTAAATGTTTCCTGTTAACTAGAATCCTAAGCAAGGTTAAACACAATAACATATACAGTATCTCATCTCTGGTTAATTATATTCCATATTTCGGAAACCCGTTTGGTGTCCTTAATCCTCATGGTGCACATCATTTATGTAGAATAGTCCATCTAATGCATTTGTTTCTATAGAATAGAATTTATTGGCAAGTTTTTTTTTACTTTTATTTGAAGTATGGTTTGGTATGGGAAAACTGTTATTGATTCAAATAGGATGATTTATCCCACATGCTTACCTTTGTAAACTATTTTGTTATTTGAAGAGTTCATGAATGTTTTTTCTATTTTATGGTAGGGTCATTGAGGGCTGGTATATCTTTACAAAACTAAAAATAACCTGTGTTACTGGAATTGAACACTTCAGCTTTTTACACACAAAGGTTTATTTTAAGTCCTTTTGTTGCTAGACGTTTTACATGAAGATTCACTGTGGGTAGACAACCACAGCTAGTTTTTGTTACTATGGAGACAGACTACAAATTTTGGGAGGTGGGGTGCAAACAAAACTAATGGAATTTCTAGTTCTGAGTTGAATAGGTAATATTCAGTAGGGCCCGTGGTTCACTCATTGCTAAACCATGCATTCAGTTCTTTAGCTATACCCATATCTGAAATTTTACAATATAATATCTCCCATTAACACTTAGCAAGAGATCAAGGCAATCTTCTGTATCCACTCCAGGATGTCACATTTTATCTTTCAGGCTGCCTTGACACCCTGGTTTCCCTTCTTTGCAATTGAACAATTCTTGAGCTAGAAAAGAATATGGTTTAAATTGAGCATCTCATGCACAGCCAAAATCCTGGAAAATGACCTGCATTACTATATGTAATTGATTTGTATTAGGATGGTTTCACACTGCTGCTCTGCAGTGTGGCTGCAGCACAGGTGTACTGGTGGTTTTGTGCCGTTAACCCACGGTTTCCCATACATTTTCTATTAGTCTTTTCTACTATTTTTGGAGTGTTTTCTTAAAGTGCACCAAAGATGCAGCATGTAGGATGTTTGGTGTGCTTTCAGAAAAGACACCAAAAGCAAGCTATATAGTAAGTCTAATGGAAACTGTGTGGGTTAACTGCACAAAATCCGTGGTACAAACTGCAGTGCAGCTCTGTGAAACTGGCCAGCCTTAGGGATCTATAGACCAAACTATCTGGGCTGTTAATTATTTTACTAAAGGTTTTTTTGGCAGTTGTCACAATTTACAGAGATAACAAGCTATTCAAATGAGTATAGAGTGTAAACAGCGGTAATAAGGCGAATTGCAGAAGGGCCAATGATTAATTGTTACAGTTAGACACATATAAATAACGATGCATCAACACCTAAAGTTTCATGAATTGTACAATGAGAAAGAAAGGCACAAAAAGTAACCCATGACGGAAATGTTAAGGAGTAAATATTCCAGCTCAGCTGGTAGTTGGAAATAGCCAAAGGTGCTGGTGTAATGATGGAACAGACTAAAAACTGCCATGTTAAAGAAAGTGAGCAAATGTGGAGCAATGGGGGAGGGAAGAGAAGGGTAACGGAGAGTTAGAGGGATGAGAAGGAAGGGTCGGAGAAAGGTTTAGAAATAAAAAAGGAGGGGAGAAGGGGGGGTGGGGGGGGGGGGGGGGTCATAGTGCCAACAATATAAGATAGGAGAACGTGATCAAATCTACATGGCTTAGCATACTCTGTCCAAGCTTGCCAAACTCTGAGAAATTTGTCATGAGAATCTGTTTAACATAACCATCAGTTTTTTTGTGAACCATTATTTCATTTGATCAGTTCTTCTCTGTCCCCAAACTGAGGGTGTGGGATTTCCAAGCTCAACAAGCATTTGTTCAGAGCAGAAGAGGGTGTTAATAAGTTTGTAAAGTAATGCTTCAGAAGGGTTTTTCTGAATATTAGAGTGAAAGAGCGTATGGAGAAGCTTGTTTATTATTTTAAGGAAAAACAAAATGACATGTATAATATTCTTATAACATTTACTTCAGCATATTTTCTATATTTGTTGCGCATTCATGGTAAGGTATTAAAAATCCTATTGGTAATAATTACCTCCTGGTAATAAGTTATGTTTCAATGCCAGTGTGATTTTTGGCATGGTGTGGATTTGAGTGCTAAAAAAAATACATAAAAAACCTCTCTACCAATCACAAAGTAAAAAATGTATCCATAACTTAAAAAAAAAAAGTGCTTAACCCTAACCAGGAAAATGCTCTTGTGTGATTTACATCTGGTTCAGTGTAGTGCAATCTGATCTGAGCCCTTTCATTTTTAATGGGTTGAATCACACTGGACAGCAGCAAAAATAGCATTGCAAAAACACAGAGCAACTGGATTGCATTGCACTTCTGTTCCATGCGATCCGGTGCAGTCAAACACATTGTGTGTGCAACCTGCATTTAAGGTGTCATCACGTTAACTTTGCCACCCACTGCAGATCACGACCACAACGCATTTTGAATCTGGTGCAGTAAACATGCACAAAATACGGATTTCCTGCACCGTGTTCTGGTGTGAAGGGGCCCACATTGTAACCCCTTTTAATAATGTCTCAACTCTTTAAAGGATAAGTTTGCTTTTAAAAATAATTACATAAGTAAGGCTACGTTCACACTAGCGTTGTGTGCAGCGGCAGAGAGGCGTTTGGGAAGCGTTTTTACTGCTTCCCAAACGCCTCTGCCAATTCTGCACATTACAGCACATGGTGCTGTTCTAACGGAGCGTTTGTGTAGCGTCGCGGCAAAACAGACGCCTCTGGTCAAGTCAGGAGGCGTTGAAGCCTCCTATTCTCGTCTATGGTGCCGCTCCGCAAACACCCGGCCGGCATTTGCGGTGCGGTTGCGGGGCGTTTGAGGAGCGGTAACACCACTCAAACTGCATTCTAGGCATTTGTGGGGTGTTATTAACACTCGGCAAACGCCTAGCAACCGCCGCTAAACTGCGCATGCAGCATTTGCAGAGCGTTAAAAAATGTTCCGCAAACGCCGACCAACGTTTACGAAACGCTATAGGGGCGTTTGGCAAGCGTTGGTAAAACAGCCAAGTGTGAACGAGCCCTAAATGCACATTTTTTTGCAGGTAAAAAAAGTATATGTACTATTTTTTTTTTATTTTTAGGAGCCCGGAAAGCATTGCTCCTGGAAAGCATTACACCGGTGTTACAGTAACTTGTTACACCCTGAATATCCATGTAACATGTTACAAAAGGCGACCTTATCCTTTATAATATATCTATTGCTAAAACTTTTTTCTTTGGATAGTATTTAAGAGGGTTGTTTTGTTTTTTTTTTGCCATTGCTGTCTTGCTAAGAGGATTTCCCTTTACTTCTCCTGTAGACTTAAAAGAAAGTGAGAAGATATCTCTCTAATGTGAACAAAATTCTCTCTTAGATCATTGTCGTGAACAAGTGTTTGGAAGATTTCCCCTCTATGCTGATCTCTTGGCAACTCAAAATATGGCATTTACATGCCCCCCCCCCACACACACACATTTTAATTTTCTTTTCCTTGTAACTTAGTCCTCACCCTGGAGCTAACATTTAACAAAGCACCAAAAGTGTGCCCTTGACTCTTATCCTCCTTCCAACACTTACTGATCACTAAAACTTAACTTTAATCCTAAAAAAACCCTAAATCCCATAATTCCTTCCACTGACTCCAAAAACGAACTCCTAACACAATATATCAACCCATTCTGCAGCATATACTCCTCTTATCTTGCTCTTTACACTGGGAGCAGTGATGCAACATCCTCTCTGTCTTGTGCCCAAACAATAATTGTATACCCTATTCTCAAAGGTATTGATTCAGATATCCTCCCATGAGCAAACTGGCAATATAAATCATAAGAGTAATGGACCATTTTCATTTACACATTAATGAAGGTACACAGGTCAGCCATTATTTTAATCACTTCCTTTCTGCCCATTGCCTATAAATGGCAATTGGGAAGCAGTGCCAATGCAGGCTAATGTACCTGTAGGTCAGCCCACATCTGCAGCTCCTGCGTGGCTTACTGAGTGTGCACCTGGGAGCCCGGCGATCCATGTGTCACCCAGACAGTGGATCACATTACCACTCTGGGTGATCACATGGTGTTTTGACATGTGATTGCTGTGTCCAAGCACAGCAATCACATAGTAAAGTATAGAACATGAAAGCAAGTATCTGTTCTCTCTGCTCTAACTGTGAGAGTAGAGAACTGATGCTGCAGCCTGTAAGTGTACAGCAGTCTTTCTGGCTGCATGAACTGCAGTGTCAGCCACCCCTGTGTCCCTGATCACTGCCCCATTGTAATTTTAATACATAATGCGGCCAGCACCTGTCACCTGACCCAGTGTGTACAATGACACTGCCATACATATACATATACCAATGTCTTGATCACCACCATACCAGTGTCCTGATCACCGCCATACACCATATCATTGTCCTGATCATTACATTACATTACATTGAGTTTATATAGCGCCAAAGGGTTTGCTCAGCGCTGTACAATAGAGGGGGGGACAATACATGAAACATTACAGCAGCTACGAACAGCACACGAGGGGTAAGAGGGCCCTACTCTTTCGAGCTTACAATCTGGGAGGGAGGGGGTAGTGGTACAGGAGGAAGTGGCTGTGGGGGATGGAGTGGTAGGAGGAATGAAGGAGAGCAGCAGTTAGGTGAGGGTGGGGTAGGCTTCCCTGAAGAGGTGGGTTTTCAGGGAGCGCCTGAAGGTGAGGAGGGAAGGTGACAGTCTGATGGATTGGGGTAGTGAGTTCCAGAGGATGGGGGAGGACCTGGAGAAGTCTTGCAGACGTGCGTGTGAGGAGGAGACCAGGGAGCAAGATAGAAGGAGGTCCTGTGAAGAGCGAAGGGTACGGGTAGGGTGGTACTTGGGAATCAGGTCGGTGAGGTAGTTAGGGGCAGTGTTGTGAATGGCTTTGTAGGTCAGAGTGAGTAGTTTGAATTTGATGCGTTGGGCGATAGGGAGCCAGTGGAGGGAGAGGCAGAGGGGGGTGGCAGAGGTGGAGCGGCTGGTGAGGTGGATGAGTCTGGCAGCTGAGTTCAGGATGGTCTGAAGCGGGGAGAGTTTGCACTGGGGTAGGCCGGTGAGGAGGGAGTTGCAGTAGTCAAGGCGTGAGATAATCAGGGAGTGCACAAGTAGTTGATCACATACTGAAAATTGGCCTGGAATGGAAGGGGATAAAAGTGTCCAACCATGAAGTGGTTAAAGAGTGCTATGCAATGGTGGAAGGACCATTTGGAAACTCGGGCACTGCCCGAGGGCCCGGGGTCAGTAGGGGGCCTCATGAGATGCCCCTGGTACCTTTTTCATAGGCTTTTTTGAGTTTGGGCAAGGACACGGGCCCCATGATCCCCTATTGCCTGGGGGCCCCATGAGTTGTCACTCCACCCCTGGTGCTATGCATTAATGTAAATTTTTTATCTGCATCATCAGCACTGTAGGGTTTGTTGATTACAACAGCAGCACATAAAAACATGCACAAATATGTGTGAATCAAGCTGTGTTTACCAGCACAGTATTTATTGGAACATGTAACCTAAAGCAAAAAAAAATAAACAATTGAGATGGCGCCTTACTGTGAAGGAACCTCTGCTTAGAGGAATATGTCGCCTGTCATTGATGACCACCTTCAGGCAAATGCTAGTTGCCTGTCTATCTCTGACTTCAGCACTTTCTGAATCAGTGACTTGAAACAAGCATTGATGTTAGCGAATTCGGCACACCTGCCCTGCATACTTTTTCCTGGTCATTATCTACATCCAGCATTGTCGACAATGATAGTCAAATTAATTTCTTTTGCCATCGGTTTTCTTTATATTTCAAAAAAATAATTAACATTAATATGTATGTGGTTTACTTTTAGCCCTCATTCTAAAAATATTGGTTGTTTCTTTCCCATTTTCCATTAGATTGTGTGAGGTACTTAATCTTGATCCAAGACATGTGCTGATTGCAGAAGTAATCTTCACAAATATTGGAGGAGCAGCTACGGCTGTTGGGGATCCACCCAATGTTATAATTGTTTCCAACCAAGAGCTAAGGAAAGTGGTAAGTAGTGATGTAGTTCTAACAGAGGCAGTATAACAGCTGAAAAGTTTCCGATATTTGGCATCAGGATTTATGCTTGAAAAGCACTTAAAACATAAGATGAAATAGAAGCCTACAGTGACACTAACCTCACATTTTTTATTAAATAGAAGCAATATGTCTCTATATCTCCCATCTTTTCTTTAATCGCTCTTCCTTTTTTTAATCTTTCTTCCTTTCTTTAATCTCTAAAATGCTAGCTTTTTTTCTATTGTTCTCAGACTTCCTGATCTGTGGTGGCTACATTTGTTCTCCATGCTCCTCTTGTATATATGAATGTAGCCACCCTCTCCTACTCACCCCCAAGATGGATTACACATCTACATGCAGATACATTCAGCTATATGGCAATTGTAGTACGCATTGAGCATGCAACACCACTCACTCTACACTAGTAGCTGTGAGGTACATCAGTGGAGGATAAAGAACAAAAAAAGAAGTTTGAAAACAGCAGTAAAAGACTTTTTAAACAAAAGAAAAAAAAACAGAGCCATGATATATTTGATATTTTAGAATGATTGATGTAAAAAAATTAGTTTAGTGTCACGTTAAAGGATAAGTTTTATTCAGGTTTTACACTTCCACATTTGAATCAAGTCTGAAAAATAACTATTTACTGATTATTAAATAAGTCCAACAGGCTGACATAGTATAGTATATGAACGATCAATGTATGTATATCTATCAGTCTATAATACATGTTTGTCTAATCTGAACTGTTCCAAGAATTTAAATGTTTGTGATGTGCATTCAACCCCTTCCTGCCGCTGCCTTCCAAGCCTTTAAGAGGATCAAAATGCTGGGAGGTGGAGGTGGAGGCGGGAACGCCAATCACGTGACCGCTGTGATTAGCTGTCACAGCAATCACATGACCAAAAGCTCCTGATCACAGGTATGTGAGCTTTTTGTGACACTTTAGTTACTATGCTTGGAGTGCACTGAGAACAGTAAACTGCTTGCCTATGGACACATATATGTGGCCAACCCATTGAGAGGTTGCATATATAGTATGTGTGAGGCCAGCAGGAAGTGGTTACGTGAATAGCTTAACTAATGTATATGATACTTTCTGAAATGGCTACTTGTAACAACATTATTATCTTTAAATTAATCATATATAGTAATATATTGTTAAAGGTAAAGGTAGCACCCATGCTGCATGTGGTAGCTTTATATCTGACAATTATGAATAAAACATGGTTAAGGCTGCCTAATTAACATCCAAGACTCACCTTTTATATGGGCCAAACAGTTCCAACAGTATCCTGCTGCAGAAAACATGATAAATACTTAAATCAATGATTGCAGTTTGAATGTTCCTTTGTAAGCGATAACCAGCATGGATTTAAGACCTGTGGAAACATTAACTGTTGATTTTGTGTTGGCTTCACACGAAAAGCAATATATCTTTCTATTATGTTTATGTGCATGATAAATGCCCAGGAGAAAAAAGGAAAATTATCCATTTTTCTCGAGAGCCATTCATGTCATATTTCCTAACACATGTTCTAAACGTGTTATCATTGAGTGATATATAGCTTATGAATCATGGCACTCTCAAAAAGAAATTACAAGCTATTGGATATCCCTTCTAAGTGATTGTAATGAATCTGTTTAGGCTTGAAATTAGAAAGGGTTTTTTTATACAAAAACAATGATGGTGCCAGACATAATCTTGTAAAATCCCAGATAATGTGTTTCTCTATGGAAAACCCACATGTAATGCTGCAATATTAATAGCAAATTAAAGCATGAAAATTCAGGCCTGGCTCAATTTTGTCAAGTGTGGATATTTGAAAACTTTTAGTAATTTGTACCATTGTTTTTTTCTGAGACATTTGAGATTTCTTATGCTTTCTTGTAAGCCCTGCTATGCTTGGAAAGCCCATAATGAGGGGTTAAAGTGATTCTAAAGTCTTATTTTTTTTAAAATGTTGTTTAATAACAGACATGTGTTATTTACCTGCTGTGTGCAGTGGTATTGCACAGAGCTGGCCAGTTCCTCTTCTTTTCTGCTCCCCCTACAGGTGCTTCTGGCCACATCCTCCTGTCGGGTGCCCCCCACAGCAAGCAACTTGCTATGGGGGCACACAAGCATGCGCACTGCCCAGCCACTGCTCTTTGTGTCCATTCACACGTGGAGCTGTGGCTTGGCTCCGCCCCCTCTATCTTCTCATTGGCTCACTGGCTGTGATTGACAGCAGCAGGAGCCAATGGCTCCCGCTGCAGTCTCTCCAGTGAGGAGAGGGAGTCCCAGGATACCTGAGACTGCAGTACACATTGCTGGATCGAGAGGGGGCTTAGGTGAGTATTAGGGGGGGCTGGGGGGATGCTGCATAGAGATGATTTTTTTATTTTTATGCATAGAATGCATGAAGGTAAAAACCTTGAGCCTTTACAACCACTTTAAGACAGTGACATAGTGAATTTAAAATGGCTGCATCCGTTCTGCACACAATAGTGGGAGAGTACTTCTGTATCCAATGTATTGCCCAAGTAATCACAGAAAGGAAAGTAGGGAACATAGAAAAAGGATGGTTCCCTTTGGTCCCAGTCTCTGCAATGCACTCTCTTCTGGAGTACTAGAGTCTGCTATGTAGGATGGCGAAAAACATAGAATTCTTCCCAACAAGAAAAGTTGAAAGCTTCAGGGCTAAAGAAGACACTGTCACAAAATCAAATTACACAAAGGTACTGGAAATATTAATGTTTATTATTTTTAGCTGTCTCATTGCTATGTACTGACACTCCGAAAACGTTAGGGTTTGTAATCTAAGAGTCTTTTGATCTGTGGTGATTGATTTCTCAGCTCCTTTTTACCTTTTGTGATCAAAGAATTAATCATCTGTTATGACTTTGGCCCGTGTCTGTGGCTGGTCTGGTTTTGACCATTAGCCCCCCCCTCCCCCCAATTTATGTGTTCCTTATATTTTCCTAATTGGGGAGGGGAAGGTTTCCTCACTTGATCATCTCCCTATAAATTTAGATCAGCTTATAGGGGAAGTCACAGACAGGGCATTCTTTTTCTGTGTGAGTATTTTTTCTGCAGGTGTGTTTAGCAGTTAAACACAGCAGTTTAAAGCACTATAACTAAAGCAGCAAGAAGATACAGCAAAGAATTCTGCTCCACTCTGCACTGACCGCAAGCAAAACAACACTGTGGAAAGCATCTCTTACAAGTCTGACTCCTACTCCATCTACCCTTTATACCCCTTTACACATATCACCCTCCCTTCCACCCTCTCCCTACTATTGATCTCATTACTTCCAGAAAATACTTAAACCACCTGCTGACCCAAATACCAGGGACTTATGTGCACTCATATACATCCCACCCCCATCTTACTTTCCTCTCCCTCCTTCTCCTAACCTTTGGGAATATCTTCCCTAATCCTGGTCCTTCAGTATCTCACCCCCACACCAGACACCTTCCTTCCTCCAGCAATAGCCACAATCCACTCAGTTTAATCTTGATTCCCTTGCTCCCAAAAACCACTCCCTTTCTTATGTGCCCTCTGCAATGCACTCTGTCTGTAACAAGCTCACCTCTGTCCATGACCTTTTTGTCTCCCACTTGCTTGCGTGTACAGAAACCTTAGCTTCAAGCATCAGATTCTGCCTCTCCCGTGGCCCTCTCCCATAGAGGCCTCCACTGGACTCACCCAGACCCAGTGGTCAGAAACACCTTTGAGACTCCCTGCATTTGTCTGTTTTCTGCAATTTCTCTTAGGATTACAGTGATCTATTGGCTTCCTCAATTGGTGATTTCAACATCTCCATTAATGTTACCAGCCCAGCTACATCCCAACTTTTCAACTTAACATCATCTTTTGCCCTAACACAATGGACACAGTCCCCCACTCACTGTCTGACCACAACCTCATCACTTTCAATGTCCCTGTCTTCAACCACCTATCCCTCCAGGAAGCAAACCGTTACCTTCAGAAACCTTCACCACTTTAATCCTATTGTTTTCTACTTTACAACTGACCAACTCTTAGGCCCCATGTACACGGGACACTTCTGAACGATGGAAACTGACTGCTGAAAAATGTAGATTAAAAAACATCTGTTTAGCCACATTTTGCGTTTAGAAGCGTTTATCAAAAATAAGCACAGAAGAACCTCCCAAATGCCCAGAATTCACTGAAAAGTGGTAAATTATTAAATATTTCAGGCTGTTTCAGAGAAATACACACATTAGAAACAGAGAAAGCAGTATGTGTTGAGATTAGCTTAGGTGTGAGTTGCTCATTGACATTTCTTTTGTTTCCAAGGGTTGGAAAGGTGTCTGGTGGAGTGAGTCATTAAGGCCACCTGGCAGGGGGTCTTCATGAGGAATTTGAGGTGTGAATGGTCTTTAACATATCTTTTGTTTCCAAGAGTGGGAGAGGTCTGAGGTGTGAATTGGCCATTACAATGTGTGACTATCTTGGTAGGAACATCCTGTGTGCAGTGCTTTGTCCATTTTAGTACCGCTTTACTTGCATTTTTTATGATGAAAAAAGGCTCTGGACAGCATTGGGAACTGGAAGAGTTAAAAAAAAATTTCAAACACTTATATACATGATTGCCATGTTTAGCAGTGTTTACAAGCATTTTGCATTTGAAACGCTGATAAAATCGGTTGCTGAACGCAAGTTTTCTGCGTTCAAAAAAACGACTGTAAACTCAAATGCCTGTAAACGACTGTAAATGAAGATGTGTACATGGACACGTAGGAAAACATTAGGGTGAGTTCAGGGGCTGCTGAAAAAAATGCTGAACAGCTCCTAAACGTGAGTTTATCAGCTGCATTGTACATGATCCCACAAAATGTCTCCCCTGTCCTGCCCTGACCTGGCCACTTCTGTCTACAACAGTTCACTTTCATCCACTCTGGACTCACATGCTCCTCTAACTACACAAAGTATCAGGTCCTGACCATTGCAACCTTGGCAGACTGACGACACCAGAAATAT